TCCCCCTTCGCATGTCCCTCTCCCTCGCTACCACCAAGCTGCTTCGCTGAGTCAACCTTCTCGGCCGAACCTCGCATGCGAGCCACGTGCTTCCTTCTCCATGCTTCAGATCCGAGCCTCACTACTATATAAGGCAACGAGACCTCCCAAGTATTTTAAGAATTTTGGCACTTTTTCACCCTTTTTCAATATTTTTAGTATTTTGAATTCCCCCGAAGCCCCAATATTGATTCGAAAGCCCGAAACATGCCCCGAGACTCCCGAGAAGCCGGGAAAATTTATCCTTTCGGTTTTGGAACCCTACCTTCGCAGAGCTCGATTTTCAATTAAGCTCCCAGTTTTCAACATAGAAAGTCATATTTAAAGCCGAAACGCTATCCAAATTACTATTTTAACCCCCGGTTAATTTAAGGTGAGTTCAATATATAAGAACAATTGTATGTTATATGTTATATGTGCTATGTGCTTTTCAGTGATATTATTCCGGGTTATTTTCCTGCGTTATTTTATTCGCTATGTTTATAGCAAATGTAATATCTTTTACCATGTGATCAGTGAAAGGACTTAGATTCACATTGGTACTGGTACGTAGCCTCTGGCCATGTAGAGCATGTCTCCGTAAGAGAATGATTTCTATTCTATGGTATTGGCAAATGGTTAGACAGGACTATAAGCCTGAAATCTAACAAGATGTTAATCAGAAATTGCATGTCTTCTATGCCATTTGGGCCAAAGTTTTATTGATGTATATCAAGCATTCAAAAGTATATCTTTGAATAAAGTCTTTGATTGATATGAAAGCTTGTCACATGATTTCACATATGTCTTTGTTGTTCCTCTTTGCTTCTGCCATATTGAAGTATATATATGGCATAACGTTATATTGTATCTATTATTGAATTCATTAAGTGTCACCGCTTACCCTATCAATGTTTAACAATTGCAGGTGGTAATTAACTAGTATGATCACATACTGTTGAAAGATTTAGAATAGTTTGTAATAGTACTTTTGTACTCCAGTTTATGTTTGTATAAATTACAATATCCTGGGTGGTTATGTAATATATAACACTTTGTAATAGTCGGTTTGTACCAATAGTTTGTAATCTCTTTATCAATGTAAAATATTGCTTTTATGAATATGTAAGTAGCATGTTTTGGAGTAATAATATTGTGAAGTATGAAAGTTTGGGTCTTTCAAAAGTACGAAAGTTGGGGTCTTTCACGATACTCACTCCTTTCCTAACGCGGGCCTCGCCCCTGCTCGGCTACTAATGAGATATGGAACCCCATCCATACTCTGCTAATGGTAAGATATGGGACCTCGGCCACACTCACCTCCCTACCAGGCACATACAAATATCAAACAGACAACATGTATACTCTCTCATGCAAACCATTCCTTTGGCACTCGGCCGACATTTGACTTTGGTCCTGAATATCGTACTAGCAAACAGTGCCTAGGGCTAAACCCTAGGTCTTCCTACTCATAACTACATGGGCCAGCATTGTGGCCATAGGCCCATTCACACAAAGGGAAAACTCACATGCACTGCTGAACTCTGCTGATAACCCTCTGGCTGCTATCCGACAACTCCTCGAACTGCTGCTCCTCCAGCTCCCCGAGCTACCAATACCAATAACAACATTTAGCTTAACTGTTCTCCCGAAGCCAACTAGGTCAACTCTGGTCATGGTCCTTCTCAAGGTCAATGTTAAAGGTCAGAGTTAACTTCCAGTTTACTACACTCGCCGTGTTGTGCTACCAACTCGCCGAGTCCATGCTCCTCAAATCTCAAAACAACCTCGACTCCACTTGTCGAGTCTAGCAACAACTCGACGGGTTCTCCTTAAGGTAAACATTCAGGACCATCTTCAACCGACTCGCCGAGTTGTAGAACAACTCATCAAGTCCATCTTCATAATCTAAGGAGATTGCCTTGGACTAGCCAAGTTCCTCCTTGAACTCGTCGAGTACCATGATCTTCATGTCTATTACGGGTACAAACTGATTGAGTCCTTGTCTAACCCCACTCACTGATCTGACTCATAAACAAAAGGGTTTGGGTTTGCGGCCCGACTGGTAGAGTCCATGAACTGACTCGTCGAGTCCTTCTTGTGACATCTTTATTCTGCCGATTCCAGTCCATCCCAACATCTCCAACTCATAGATATGGACTCCTTATGCTAGCATTGCACGTAAAGTTTCTAACTTTACGTGCATGCAAGGTGTTATGAGGCTAGAACACTTAATCCAAACTACAATGAAGGCCTAGGTCATGAAATGGAGCCATGGTTGGGTAAAGCTACCCTCTCAGAGCTTCTAAAGCTCAGAAATGATTAGATCTTAGGTCCCTCTCGTCCTCAATGGCTCAATAGTCGGATTGACCTTGGAAATGCTCCAAATGTGACCAAATCTATGTTAGAAAGGGGATCTAAATGATTAACAGTCAAGGTATAAGCTTTTTACCTCTAAATGGTCTGAAATGTTACCCTAACTCTGGATCTATAGCTTCTTCTTGCACCACCAAGTTCCTTCTTCCTTCTCCAAGCTTCAATTCTCTCTCAAGGCAAGAACTAGCTCAACAATGGAGTTGGGTGGCAAGGGTTTCAAGTTCTGGACAATAAGGGCTGCAAATGAGCCCTATGGAAGAGAATGAGATGCTTAAATAGGGTACTTAGTCCTAGAATTAGGGCTTCCTAACCCAGACCTGAATCATCGAGTCCACTCTCTGGCTCGTCGATTCGGTTACTTATTCTATGACACGGAGCCCGCTACGACTCGCGGAGTCATTCCTTGGACTTGACGTGTTGACCCCCTTTGACTTAGGGTATTCCTCTCCTTTCTTAGCCTTTCTGATTCTGGGTGTTACACATATCATAAAAACCCATAAGTCATATGTCTCAAAACATATCATAATATAATAATGTTAGAGTACAAAATCCCAAGAACATCATACTAGCACGTAAAGCATAACAGACAGTGGCATACTAGATACTTATAACAAAGACAATTATCTCTACTATATCTCTTACTAGTGGGCCATTATTGGTGCCTTCGATCCACTTTTACTAGAAGGTAACTCACTACAAATGTTGTGAAGCGGCTGAATTGTCCTCCGCTCTGAAATTTGCCCCACTGAAACTCCTAGACAAAAAAAACTTCCTTTAGTCACCCCTTTTCATGCTCATAACCCTTAAGGGTCAACTTTGGTCAAAGTCAAGGTCAACACCCTGGTCAAAGTCAACATCTGGTCAAAGTCAACGTTCTGAGTTGACAACTCGCCGAGTTGACCCATCAACTCGTCGAGTTCCATAAATCCGAAAACTCTGAACTCGCGATCCAACTTGTCGATTTCTTACACAACTCGACGAGTTCCTCTTATCCATGGTATCGGGACTTTCCCGTTCTACTCATCGAATCATCCTTAAACTCGTCGGGTTTTCCCTTTTACAGAGTCGGGACATTTCAACCTAACTCATCGAGTTCTTCCATGGACTCGATGAGTTCTTCAGTCTGTTGGGCCATCTTAATATATTAAGCTCTTACGCTTCAGATTTAGACTCCACACTTCTTTTACACATTGAAAATGTCCTTTTAAGGGTAAAGTTTCCAACTTTAGCCATTAATAGTTTCCTTTAATGGGTTTAGCTCAAACCCTAATCCTTTAAGACATAAACCTTGGTACAAAAGCCATAATACTTCAAACTAAATCATGAAAACTAAGATCTAGGCCCTAGATACCATATAAACACGTAAAGTCCTTGACTTTCCTTCCATACATGACCTTTTGGACCTTAAAAGGCCAAAATGACACCTTAAAGCTTACATGGGGGCTTCCATGACCATAAATTATGCACCTTTATGTCACAACAGCCCTTCAAGGTCCTAGATCTAGAAGTACACAAACTTAGGATGTCCATTTCCCAAAAGCTAACATTCTTCGACAAAAAACCGCCTTAAAAGTGAAATGAAGACATCTAAGAAATCATTAAGAAAGTTTGAGACTTGCTTACCTAAGAATGTTGCAAATGAAGTGAAGTTTTTGTATCCACTCTTTTTTTTTTCTTGAGTCCTCTATCTTCCTCTTCTTCCACAAGATTCCAAAGAACAAGTTTTCTCTCAAAAGGTCTCACCAGCTCACACAAGGCTCTAGGGTTTCGTGGTTAAGGTTTTGGGACTTAGAGGCCATAAATGAGGCAGTCCTTTAAGGATTAATGTGTTTAAATAGGGTGCAAAACCCTGAATTTAGGGTTTCACTCTGCCATCCCTACTCGTCGATTTGGGGCTCCCAACTCGTCGACTAGGTTTCTTAACCCGCGTCGCAAAAATAATTCATACTCGACGAGTTTGGGGCCTCCAACTCATCGAGTTCTCATATAAAACTTAATAAATTTTATTTAAAATACATACCAAAATCTTACATTTGGTACTCACGATGAAAAGGTTGGTGAGAAGAATCGGGAGCATATAATTTAGAAATACATTTGGTAATTCCATTATAATCAGTAGAGCAGTGAGTATTAATTGAAGATTGATTTATAAATTGAGAACTCACAAATCTACTCTTAAAGTCTTCCTTTAAGCAGTCAGCTTCATAAAAGGTTTGTTTAGTCTCAACAGCTTTGGTTAAGGAAAAGCACCTTCTATATCACCTTTAAGAATTTTGTTACACTGATCTAGAATATGAACATTAATGATTCTTGTGACATTAAAGTGAATGCCCAGTTTTTCAAAATAACTTGAGTGCAATTAGCATGATCAACAACTTTTTTTTTTCAGTGTAAAGAAAATTATTGGTCAACGAGATACAAGTGTTTTGCATTTTTAGAGCAGATTGGGATTTTTCAAGAAAATAGTTTTTTTCTTTGAGTTTCTTTAACTCGGGACTAAGAGACGATTTTTCTTTATTTGAGACCACTAAATTTAAACGTAAGAGATCACTTGAGTCATCTTTTTCAATATTACCAATAGGGGAGAGATTAACAAGATTCTTTACCTAATACACTAAGGTGTCGTCCCATTCTGACTTGAGGTCCTTTGCAGCATAAGGTTGATCTGCGTCAAGGATCTCAATGTTGTCATGATCAGTTTCAGTGTGTGGTTCAACAATCTGAGCCATGAGACACGTACATTCATCGTCTGAGGAGTTTTCCTTTTCAAAATCAGATGATTGAGTGATCATCATCTCTTGAGTTGTTGAATAGTTTTGAACCAAACGATAGACATAGAATGGGAGTGACTTTCCAATACCAGTTCTCTCCTTTACATTGAGATTCAACATCCTCTTCTCTTCCTTGTTGAATCCGAGGACTAGTTTTCCTTTCAACTTACTACCAGATGCACCATCACTGGATGCTTGATGTATAGCGGCGATAGGACATTTATTGACAACATCGAGCATATCAAGGTCCATGAACTCAAGAGCTTCCATGGCCTTTGATTTCCATGCAAAAAAGTTATGTTTATCAAATGAATGAATCTTATTGCAAACACAATATGTTTCTAATAACCAATATGTTTATATTGTTTCATTTAACACAATATGTTTATAATAAAATTTATGTTATTTTAATTTCCTAACCTTATATTACATGAGTTTTAACATAATATCTTACATATAATAGTATAAATTCTTATTTCACAAATATATTCTCTTCACATACGATGCATTATATGAACATAGTTAAATACATAATATTAAAAGAGAAAACTTAATTTGCTATCGAGCATTTAGATGTGTTATTGTCAATTCACCAACTGAATCCAATGCTGGCACCGATGAACTAGGGGTGAATTCGAGCAATTTATCTTTGGTGAAAAATGCTGGTTGTTTAGGTGGAGGCAAAGAATTCTCGTTACCGAGCATGAGAACTACTGATGACATAGTAGGCCTATCATCTGCATGATGTTGCACACATAACAAAGCTATGTGCACTATCCGTACTACTTGAAAGTCAACAAATGAGTATCGCAAATGTGAACCAACAAGCTCAAGAGACTTTCCTTCATTGTGGAGCCGCCATGCCTAAATTTTGTCGAAAATAGGAAGTTATTAGCAAAGTTATTGTGCCAGCTAATCGTTTAAAATAGTCAAGCACCTCAGGCCTCTAGTGCTTTATATATAACTTACATGTCCAGTAAGGGTATCATGGTGTTCTTGTTTCGAGAATCCTCGGTTTTTCTTGCCACTCACAATTTCCAACACCAAAACTCCAAAGCTAAAAACGTCTGACTTTACAGAAAAAAGCCCATGTAGTGCATATTCTGGAGAGATGTAACCACTGAAAAGTATTTTGGGAATTTCATTAATGTATGAACAATGTAAATGAAAGCAATACAACGAAATGAGAATTTAGATTATTACTGAGTTCCAACAACTTTGTTCGTGTTGGCTTCAGTCTCGTATCCGCTAAGCCATCTAGCAAGGCCAAAGTCCGATATCTTGGGGTTCATATCATTGTCCAACAAAATATTGGCAGCTTTCAAATCTCTATGGATGATTCGGAGGCGTGAATCTTGATGAAGATATAGAAGTCCTCGAGCAATCCCATTAATAATACCAAAACAAAGAGGCCAATCAAGCATAAAACTTCCAGATTCATCTGTCATATATTATTTATTAAATTAGTTGATTTACAATAGCTTTTAGTATATATGGCAAGTGAATATTGTGTCAAACCAAATATAAACAAGTCGAGGCTTTTGTTCGCCATGTATTCATATATCAGCATTTTTTCATCCCCTAGAATGCAGTATCCGAGAAGTTTCACAAGATTTCGATGTTGTAGTTTGTTAATACATCCAACCTCATTTTTGAATTCATCAATCCCTTGTTTTGAAGTTGACGAGAGTCGTTTTACAGCTATTTCACATCCATCCTCGAGTACACCCTAAAGATTCAACTAATATAGGGTAAACCATCTGTGTTATATGTAATTCTTACTGTTTTTCCGCATATGAAGGATATATATTGCTGTATAATGTATTTACCTTGTAAACAGGACCGAATCCACCTTCACCAAGCTTATTGTTGGGAGAGAAGTTGTTAGTCGATTTAGCAATAATGGAAAGGCTAAAAGGCAACATCTCTTTATCCGAATTTAGACTCTCATTCGTATAGTTATCTTCATGGTCTTGCAATGAAACTATGGATAATGTTAGTTTGTATAGTAAATTCTAGCATTAGACGAAATAAAAAAAAATTGTTTGGCTACCTAGTATAGTCTTGCAAGGTAATTTTCTCTTTCTCCAAGCAACGTACAATGCGAAAATAACACAGATAACTACCAAACCAAGTGTAGATAACATAATTACAATGCTCATTTGTTTGTTCTTTCTTGAGCCATATTCCGTGGTTGTGGGACCTTTAAATCAAATGTTTATAACAATTGATATATAGTCAGAATATTATTCTATACAAATAAACATCTAATCAGCATTTTGTAAATGTAAAAAATAAAACCCAATTTTCAATCTTATATTTAAACTTAATTAAAATTAACACAAATAATTGGTATGTCGTTTACAATTGTAGGAACAAAATTTAACATTTTAATTTTACTAGGGTAGAAGTGTGAAGAATAAAAGTTGAGAATATATATATATATATATATATATATATATATATATATATATATATATATATATATATATATATATATTATTTCAAAGTTGTAATTTGTAATTTTTAATTAACTTTATATTCAATTGTAGTTTTTAATTTTAATTTCATGCTAATTAATTCTTTAAAAAAATAACAATAATTAACAATAAAATGATAAATGATATGACAACCCATTGAATTGTATATAGTTTATTGGAATATATAGTTTAAAAAATAAAATTATATAGTGAATGAAATACAGAAATGTAGAGTTTAATAAATAAAAATATATAGTGAATGAAATACCTATAATTCATTAAACTCATATAAATTCAATGCATTGTATATAATCTTATTATAGTGATTTTTTAAGCTTAAAATCCAACTAAAAAGATTCTACCAATAGTTAGACCAATTTGGATATCCAATTTTGGACGTCCAATTATACGACTAAAAAGGTTCTACCAACAAGTATTAGCTTCTAGAGACAAAGATACATTCTATGGTTAATGATGTACAGAGTAATAAGGTTTTAATTTTATCTATATTATGTTTTTAACGTTTTCTTTATACTTATTGTAGCAATATGGTTGTTACAACCGTTTAAAAAAAACAAATAAATTTTTAATTTTATTCACATTAGGTCTATAACGTATTTTTGTATATATACAAATATGGTTGTTACACCCGTCTAAAAAAAAAAGTAATAAGGTTTTATTTTTATGCACTTTAGGTTCCTATTTTAAATATTTTTATTTCATCTAACTTTCTTACGATTTATAATAATATTTAATTTGATGGTTTTATTATTTAATTTTTTCATCTTAATCGTCCATTCATTACAACTACGGTTTCAATGAAATGTTAAATAACAATTTTTTGTCATTTGTAAAAAATTAATAATAATAATAATAATAAATAAATAAAAAATAAGATCTTTGAACAAAATTAAAACCTCTATATACGAATGGTTACGCTAAACTTTTTGGTTTCTTACAGTTATAGTACTTGTTTCTGTTGTTCAGTGCTAACAAGAGGGATGGAGAAGAGAAGCCTTACTTGATACATCGGAGGCAGCTATTCTTACGTAAAGCTCCTGAGTTTCATCAGACTCCCGAATATCCATTAGATCATCGAACCATAACAAGCATCCACTTCCACCTCGTCTAATATCTAAATTAGCATACGCCGTACAAGAGCAATTCCTCATGCAAGCTGTTTCACATTCGCCTAGCGTCATGCTCAGATTGTACCACGAATGATTAGTGTCTGGGAATTTTACACCTGAAAGTTTCCGAAAACCATCTGGACTCCCGCAAGCTAATGGGTTAATCCGTTGACATCCACTTGACTGATCTGCGAGGCTCCGTTCTTCCGAGGGCCGTGGTTCAAAACCTTCCAAGCAACTACAATTATGATTCTTATCAAAGTTAACGTTACATCTTCCGTATGAACCACAGATCGCATAACGTGTACATGCATCATCAATTCTTGCACCTGAGTAGAAAGTCCAGTTTTCTGTCCGATTGGCCCAATTCCAGTTACCCATTTTTCCATCAGGAGTCAAACGCAGAATGGACACAAAAGCTTTCGTCAGAAGTTCATATTCATAATACATTTCGTTCTCACTGACAACAAACTGGTGTGTGAATATTGCATTTTCACCTAAATTACGCATGCCATTAAATGTAACACCAGTCCAAGGTCCATACCTTGACTCCGGAATCACATCTCGCTTCACAAAAAATTGTGGATACCCATTTGGATCCACCCGAAAGACATACGGACCAGCAGAAGGGTCGTCATTGCTCTTCCATGAAGTCAAATGTCTGTCTTTTCCTGTTTTCAAGTCAACACCAATTCTCATCCCTGAGAGAAATGTGTCTCCAGGATAATCAAAACTCTGCCAAATTAAATTTTCCTTATCCCTGAGAATAAGATTTCCAGTATCCAAAAGCTGCATTACAAGATCCCTAGACTTGTCTGATCCCGTTGAATTTGATGACCAGATTACGGAGTTGTTACCACTGAGAATTTGTAGTGCACCCTGTGTAAGTTTGAATAAACCAGACGAATCGTTTAGTGGAGTCTCTCGGTTAGCAACCCAAACCACTGTGCGAGTTGATATCTTCTTGAACCATATCCCTACGTATCGTTTCCTTGATGTGCCAAGGCTGAAGAACCCCATTTCAAAATTTTGACCTGCGGAAACAATGGTGTTGCCATCTGTGATGGTTTGATTTGCTGAAATCGTGTCTAAGGATGCACAAGTGATAAAGATTGAGATTAGAACAGTAGAGCATAAGAAGAATATCGTAAGCTTCTCCATGATATGAACTTTTGCTCCTCTCGTATGTGGATTATCTGGGTTTAAGATGTAAATTAAATGACCTGAACTAAAACTAACGTACTGGCGCGGGAATGTTTAAGGTAAAACTCAGATGTCAAGCAATTTAATAAGTTGGGACAAATAGCAACTGTTCCAAGTAACACGCAGTTGACCAACGTTTTCTCAAACACCCTGGCCAGCAATTTAACATGATTAAAACATGAAGGTCCCATGTAGAAAAATCAACGAAAATGCTTGGTCTAGCTAGATGGCCTCAGTTTGACGGGAGTTATGGCCTATGGGATGATAAATGAGTGGAAAAAAAAGGTTTTTAGAATCTTGTTATTCAATATTGGTTGAGAATTTTCGGATGTTAATGTTATTCATTTGTTTTAACTGGTTTTTAATATCTCGTGTTTGGCAATGAGCGTTTGGAAACGTTTGTCTTTAATATCTCGTATTTGGCAATGAGCGTTTGGAAACGTTTGTCTTCTAGTATTTACTTTTTGACAAAACACTTTAGTTTAAATAAAAGGTTTGGTTTGGCAATACGAAACTTAACTTTTAGTTTAAATAAAACCTCCAAATATAAAAGCTATTTCATAGTGTTTAAAAAAACATTATTACATTAATGGTCCTTTAACTTTACAGCATTTCTCTGAAATGATAATTAAAAAGCTTTTTTTCTTGAGATGATCCATACGGAACAAACTTTACATACAAATGGTCTTCACCGTGGATGTCTGTTAGATCGACCCGTTAAGTTGAAATTTTTTTGGATAAAAACTATTTTTGCCATTTTATAAAACTTTATTAATGACCATTTGTAATATTTTACACAAGAACTATCTGGAATATTTTAATTTTAGTCTCTTACTTTTTTTTTGGTTTCTTTTTTCACAAGTTTATTATTATATATTTTTTAAATATATAAATAAATTTTGTTGTCTAGATTTTATCTCAAATATTTAAATTATAATACATAATTAAATATTTTCATTTTCTATTTTTTTTATCTAAAAACATTTGAAGAATAAACAATCTTTTTATTACCTTTTTAATTTTTATATGATGTAATTTTTAACATTTATCTTCATTTTTCTTATATCAATATATTTATTTTTATGTAAAAAACATGATGTGTTATTATAAAAAATACGTTATTATATGAATATTAGTATGTTGCTATTTTATTTTAAAATATAACTATGTGGTTTTGACTTAAAGATAAAAATATATCTCGGTTTTTATATCATAATATAAGTACATTAAATTTTATATTGCTTCAATGTAAAATTTTGATATTCAATTTTAAAAAACTATTCATTTTTATCAAATTTTAAATATATGTCTTAATAAGACATAAACTTTTCAATGCAAATAAAATAAAATAAAATATGTGTTAGCTAATATTTAACTATACTACTACAAATGCTAAGATAACTAACCATATGAATAATATGATATTGATTCTGTTTAATTCATTTTATTTAATAGAAGATAAAAATATTTTATGCATTTATATAAAATGAATTAAATAGGGTTAATGTCATATTAAACGGAATTAAATGAAAATAATATGACATTAAATTCGTTAAAAAATTTATTTTTCATTAAATAAAATGAATTAAACAGAATTTAATGTCATATTATTTATTTTGTTAATTATTTTAGCAAGTGTAGCAGCGAAGTTAACAATTAGCTAACAGAGGTTTTTCACTTCTGCTTTGAAAAGTTTATGTCTTATTAAACAATATATTCAAAAGTTAATAAAACTAAATAATTTTTCAAAATTTTATACCGAAGCAATATAAACTTTACTGTACTTATGTTATGAAATCAAAATTGAAATATATTTTTAATCTTTAACTCAAAACCACATATTTATATTTTTAAAATTAGATAGCAATATACTGTTATTTCAATTATTATGTATTTATTATAATAACACATCATGTTTTTTTCATAAAAATAAATATATTTGTATAAGATAAATGAAGATAAATTTTAAAAATTACATCATATAAAAATTAAAAAGTAATAAAATGATGTTTTTACGCTTCAAGTATTTTTATATGAAAAAATAGACAACAAAAAATTATTTATATATTTAAAAAAGACAATTACACAAATGGTTCATGTTGTTTATTCCCTACTAATTATTTTTGATGTGTTTGGCCCTTGTGGTTTGCAAAAGTTGTACTGGAGAACCTTTTTCATAACTTCGTTAGTTTGTAGTCGTTTGGGGTCATTAATGTGGGGGTATATTCGTTTTTTTATGTTTGGCGCTCATTTAAGATCGAATTAGGCAGTGATACGTCATTAATCTTTCCCTTAATTAATCAGAGTCCAAGAAAAACCCCTTCGTCTCCACTTCACATTATCTTACTGATCATCTACACGACCTTCATCATTCATCCATTGTATCTGATTTTAGGGTTTATCAACTAAAAATGGTAATGTGTATGTGGAATTTACGTGGTCCTTATATGATTGCACCCGACCTTGATAAAGATTATAGTAATTTGTTTAATTTTTTGTTTGGTGTTTTCTTGATCTTTATATTCGAAGCTCATTGATTTTTCTTTTTCAGATGGGTACGAAAATTTCTTCACTTTAAAGATACATCATGATGAATTTTTTACAAAGTACCCAGGAAGAAAGTACGTTGAGGAAGGTTGAAATTCTTTGACTTTGTTGACACTGATATTTTTCAGTTCATGATCTAAATGACATGATTCGTGAGATAGGTATTCTGTGGATGACACAATGTACTATCTGTAACGCCCGCAAATTTTGGCTAGTTAATTTAGAAAAAATAAGCATCAAAAATGACTTTTTAATAGAAGATTATTATAGTGTATTTCACAAGGGTTCCGTACATATAAAGAACGTCGAAATACGAGTTATAACGAAGAAGTTATGACCCGTCGAAATTTTACGGCAAAACCGGCACGACACCAGGAATCGTAAAAAGTGAATTTGCGATAAAATACTTTCTATCCTTGGCGCTCTAAACAAAAGTCATAGTATATGTTAAACCGAGAGATATGGACAAAGCTTAGTCTCTATTCTAAGATTTAACATACTAGTAAACAGCCTAGAAATTCAAATTTTAGATCGATCGATTTTTAGCCAAAATAATCTAAACAAGAAATGAAGATATCGTTAATGGGAGTTAAACGATAAAAAGTCAGTCGAAAACGGAGCTCGTATGCGAAAGATATGGACAAAGCTTAGTCTCTATTCTTCAAGCGCGGCGAATTCGATGCAGATTTGTAAATCTGAGATAGAATAAGAATTGGTCGACGATGTCTAAATGAAAGTTGTAGTACTCGTAAATACCAACGCGTGGATATGAAGAGCATCGACAATAAATCTTGCATGAGAAATATATGGACGAAACTTAGTCTCTACTCCTCAAGCGCGGCGAATTTGATACAATTTTGTAAATCTGAGCTACAATGAGAACTAACCGGCGGGGTCTAAATGAAAATTGTACTAATTGTAAATACCAACACGTGGATATAACGAATGTAGAAAACAGAGCTTGTACACGGAAGATACGGACGAAGTTTAGAGACTACTCTACGATAAAACCCTTATAAATAAAGGGTGAATCATTCATATTTCTCACACCTTTCACCCTCTCTTTATCTCTCTACTTTCTCTCTCTAAGCCCCCTAACCCCCCCCCCCCCCAAGCCTAGGTAAACCTCTAGCGCTCGAAGGAAGCCATGAGGAGCCCGGAGTCCCGAGAAAAATGGACTTTCGGTTCTGAAACGTTGCTCCAAGCGA